CCTTGAGTGTCTTGAAAGACGCTTATAAATGAAATGTATTATTCTTATTATTATAAGATATTTCAAGGGTTATTTTTACTGACCATTCATTGTTCATGACATGTACAAATGTTTGTTTTCCGAACACACTATCCATTCTTGTTTTCTTACAGTTCTAACAGCCGCTGTGAGACCTAACACCTTAACGTCTTGGGCCTCAGACCAGGAAATTGATGTCACAATCACAAGATGGCTACATCTGGCTCCTGATCGGGATGGTGACAGGAAGGAAAGCATGAGAAGAAAAGAGTGCATGGAGAGCGCAACAATGATGGATAGAAAAATACCGTTCAAGAGGAAGCTGCATCCCAATTTGGACTTTGTGTTCACTGTTAAATAAAGAAAAGTGCATTTTTCCAGTGTATGTGGAGTTATATGTGAGGTTCGCAAAGTATGACAATAAACATATTTTTATAACAGTTGTTTTTGAGATTTTTGAGACTTTTTTTTTTTAAATGTGGGTCAAATATGGCTCATGAAAGATGTGGCTTAGTTGAGGTTGAATTAAGGCTGATATCAGGAACCTGTTCTGGCCCAGAGTAGGGCCGGATATGGTTATACAATGCGGCTCAGATCCGGCCCGAATGCGGCCCGGATCATGGATGCCAGACCCGGGCCACTGCAGGACCGTCATTCATTGCGGTATGTGGGCCGAGTGTCGTGCCGTGTCCGCGCCAGAGCTGGGCCAGACCAATTTTGCTGACTGGGTTATTTCTGAAAATTTCAAACTGCATTCTTACAGATAAAATGGCCATGTCACACTTCTCCCAGACTTATCGGTACAACTGTATGCCATTTACGGTGGCATTTTTGCCATTGAGACAGAAAATAACGTGATGCAGCCGAGAAATCAATGTATTCAAATTAATCGGGCTTAGCAATTGCAAAGTAAGACGGCTGCCGATGTATATATATTTTCCATTTTCAGGGAAGCTCATTTTATATCCAATAATGGCACCCACCAGGTCCCAGTTAGCCTGTTCACCTGTGGGATGTTCCAAACAGGTGTTTGATGAGCATTATTCAACTTTTGCAGTATTTTTTGCCATCTGTCCCAACTATTTTGTTATGTGTTACAGCCATAGAATTCTAAGTTAATGATTATTTGCTAAAAACAAGATAGTTGATCAGTTTGAACAGGAAATATTTTGTCTTTGTAGTGTATTCAGGTAAATATAGGTTGAACATGATTTGCGAAACATTGTATTCTGTTTTTATTTACATTTAACACGATGCCTCAACTTCATTGGAATTGTG